GGGTGCTCGGCCCGCAGGGCGCCCGGGGCCCGCGCGGCCCGCGAGCAGGCCGGGGCTGCGGAGGGGCCGGCCGGGCGCGGCGGAGCCGGCGGGCTGCACGACGAACTGACCGTAAGTGTGTCTCGAACTCGCGCGGGGGCCTCGCGGGCTGGCCGGGGGCCGGGGGCGCGCGGGGCGCGAGGAGGGGTGCGGGTCCGGGTCGGCGCCTTCCCGCGAGGATGTGCTGGGCGCGCAGGTCGTCTGGCCTCGGGGGAGAGGGGCCCGGCGAGACGGTGACCTCCGGGCTCGCGGCTCCGTCGGTCATTTTCTCGTGTGTTCACCCCCCTCCCCCCCACACACACACAGCCCTTCGGACTGGCCACCGCCCAGCGGCCCAACGCCAGGTCTAGGTGGGTCGCCCCGGGGGGCCGCGGGGTGGAGGGAGGGCGAGGCGGCGGCCGCGGGGCGAGGGGCGGCGGGTGGCGGTTCCCGGCCCGACCCGGCCCGGCCCGGCCTCGGCTCTCCCCGCCGCGCCGGGGCCGTCAGGAACTCAGCCTCAGGCTGAAACTACCTTCTAAAAATTAACATGTCGAAGCGGGTGCCACTCGGTGAGAGGCGTTTGGGGCAAAGAATCAATTTAACTTTGACTGACCGACAGACTTGACTGTATTAATGCAGTCAATTAAAAAAAGAAAGGAAAATCAATCAGCCGGGAGACCTGGGCACACAGAACGCAGGGCCTGCCCGGCGGCCGGCGAGAGGGCGGCTCCCCGGGTCCGAGCCTGAGTACCACGCGTCCCAGGGGCCGCCCTGGGCAGGGGCGACCCCGGACAGAGGCCCGGCCGGGGTAGTGGCGTCCTCCGCGGTCAAGCGCCCCACCGTCTTTTGGTTAGACTTGTGCACTCAGGAGGCTCCAGGCCGCAGCTGGCCACCCTCTTCGGCTACTTCTTTAACCCGGACGGAAGGGAGTCCGTGGCGTGCAGAGGTGAATTGGATTTTCGGCGTGGCCTGGAGCTGGGGGCAGAGCCGACAGCATCGACCTAGGCAGGGACCCGACAGGCCGCCTCCACCGGCAGGAAACAGGTGTTTGGACGCGATAGAGGCCTCCAGTCAATTAACCCATTAAAAGGCCGCTTTGTGCCATTGATTTCCCGCAGCGCGGAGAGGCCCGGCTTCCTAGTTGTGTCTTTGTGAAAAGCTGGGGTTGGAAGGGAGCTGCCTTCATGGCACCCTAGGAGGTTCAGAGGAACCCCGGGGACACTCGCCTCCTCTGTGGCTTGGACTGCGGGAGCTGGAGAAGAGTCCTGCTTGGTTCTCAGTAGTCTTGTCCGGGCCGCCTGACGGGTGCATGACGCTGGTAGCAGAGTAGGGTACACAGGCACTGGCCACAGGCCCAGGAGAAGTGGGATGTGGATACAGAACGGGGCCGAGTTCAGAATCCTCGGGAAAGAGGCAGGAGAACTATCCTCCCCTGGACTCTGCCAGGTCTCCTTGCCTAAGGAGTCTTTGGGTGGAGCAGGGTACTATTTGACCAAGGACTCCCGCTGCGCTGTGTGGGTGCCCAGTGAAGTTGAACCACCAGGTGGCTTCCTTCTGAGCCCTACTGAAGAAGCTGAGCCCGCTGCCGGGGTGACAGAGACTGAGGAAGGGCTGGACAGTGGGGCCGGGGCGCCGAAAAGTGGTCACTCCCGCAGGTGGCCTGCTGGGTTGCCAGTCTCACCTGCTCAACAATGAGCCCAACCCTGCCGTGGGTCTAGAGACAGAATACTCCGTGTGGCTGACCTGAATGAGAGAAGAGAATCAACCACCCCAACCCATCCCCAGGGGAGGTGAGATGCTGTCCCGAAGCTGCCTTCCAGAGGAAGATTCGCCTGGGCGTTCTGAGTTTTAGATAGCTGGAAGGCTAAAAACACCTGGGGTTCAAACATCCCTCTGCTGGCGCCCGCTAGGATTCTTTGTCCTTCTGAAATCCAGAGTCAGTACCCCACCCGGGAGTAGCCTGTCCCCGAGGAAGAGACCAATCATTTCTGGGGACAGTAAGAGGTGCTCATCTCAGCCCTTGGCCAATTTTATTTTTTAAATTTCCTCTTTTCCCTTCGCTCCTAAGTTAAGATCTAGGACTCAAAGGCCATCTGAAACCCTATCTCTCTGTGTTTCTGTCTCTGGGGACAGTGATGGGTGCTGCTGATCCCAGCCCTTAGCCAAATATACCTTTTTCCCTTCACTCCTGAGATTTAGGACTCAAAAGCCATCTGAAACCCTACATCTCTGTTTGTCTCTCTCACACTCACTTGCTCATTCTGTATCTGCGTGTGTGTGTGTGTGTGTGTGTGTGTGTGTGTGTGTGTGTCCTCTCCTCCCCTCCCCCTGGACCACCTTCTCCAAAAGTCCTGAAGGGCACCTGAGCCCTCAGAGGTGGCCTGTGATCTTTCTCCAGCCCTCCTGTCTGGAGTGTGATGCTCCCAGAGGCCCCTGCGAATAAGCAGTAGTCAACAGGCCTCTCCCTCCAACCCCAGGGAAATCTGATTTCTGCTCGTGGACCAGCTGCTTTGTATCTTTGCAAGGGAAGATGAATGGCGTTTCAGATGGGGCCAAGGGGTCCTCCATTAACCCCTCACAGGGCAGTAAAGCCCTCCCCACAGCCTGGAGATATTCTCGGATCTACTTTTCCCGTTAGCTACTTTCTGAAGTAAAGTGAGGCACATGACTGAAAGGGCTTGAAATTGTGTCAGAGTGATGTTTTAATCTCATTGAAAAGTGTATTAAAGGACAAGATGTGATTTGTGCGAGCTGCTCCGATGAAAGGCAAGATTGGAGTGGATGGGTTTTCACTGGCGTGAACCCGTGCCGCGTTTATATTGCAGCCTGTGTAGCTAATCTAATTTGCAATAACTGGGATGGCCTGTAAGGAAAAAGAGAAACATCTCTGGTTTCACGTTGTTCCTCTTCATATAGAAATTCCTCTGACTTGTCTCCTCTCGTGAGCGATGCCTCTTCTCCTTGGGGGCTAATGAAGGAGAATGTGAGCGAGGGCTGTGCACACTCACTTCTTGCCACAGCCCTGGGCAGGGCCACCCTTGGGCTTGACGGGCCATTGTTTCAGGTGGCACGGAAAGCGTGCCACCGCCACCCCCGGCACGTTGCTCTCCACTCTCCCGGCAGCAAGGGCCGGGCAGGCTTGTCTGCTCAGCCCAAGAATTTTGGTGTTAAGGGTTGCTTCGGGAATGTCCTTAATCAGACACCTCCCATTTCTCAGGTTCACCCTCTTCGAATTTTGATTTGAGCAGCTGTGAAGCTCCACTGTTCAGAAGAGTTTGACCTTGTGCACGAGCTTCCCGTGGTCTCTGGGAAAAGCCCAGCACCCCTCTGCTGGGAGGAGTCTTTATGAGCACATCTAACTTAACCAGCATTCTTTATCAGGAAGACACAACATGCATTGGAAAATTACAACTTTTGCACAATGTAAAAAAAAGGTGTATTCAAACTGTTAATTATGGGGGCTTGAGTAAATGAAACTTTCACAGTGACCCATTTAATTTTGCAGTAATTGCTGACAAAATAAGACACGGATGAATCACAATACAGTATATTTATCTTGAAGGAGAATATTGTGCTGATGTAGTTACACCAAAGACTAAGAGAAAAATTTAAGAACGGCGGCAGAAAATTTTAACGTACATAAAAATCTCACCCTGAAAACATCTGGGTTAAAAACGCAGAAAGCGCAGCTCCCGTGGTGTTTCTGAAAAGCGCAACCAAATTACAGAGGCGACTGTGTCCCTCCTCAGAACCCAGCGCTCCCGGTGAGCCTTCTCCTCTGGGAGAGAATCGGGGTCAGATTCCGACTCCCAGGCTGGAGCACAGATTTGGAGTGTACTAGAGATCTAGAGGCAAACGAGGGTGGGGAAGAAACTCCCAGCCCAAGCAGAACGCGGGCGCCTGGTGGCAGGCTGACCCTGAGACAGAGTCGTTAGCCCAGGCCCTGCTTGGCAGAGAGAATGGGAAGCGAGAGGAGGGGTCACTCACGCCCCTGGCACAATTT